AATACACAAGTGCTATGGCACTGAAAGTTTTTCTTAGTTTCCAGGAGCAATGTGAAGCAGCAAGGCTCTGGTCCAAACACTGAGCTGTTTCATGGCACTACACAGCATTAATGAAGTGCCCCTCAAGCTGATTACATCTGTAAGTTAATGACCTGCCATTATCACACTGAGAGAACTCATCAGTACTGTTCACATCCTTAAATATGTGCATATCTTTACTAAATCTTAACAGACTTCTAACAGAGGCAAAAATCATACACCATTATCTACTTGCATGATTGGCTTTGAAAATATGAAATATTAAATTATTTAAATGGCACAATTAAAATTACCAAATGAACAAAACACCCACTGAAGTATTTAAAAATCCAGTCCTCTTTAAAGTTACATAATATTTGCCACTCAAAGGTAAACCATGACTCATATTTTCTTTTTCAAATGCTTTATAGTTGGCCCTAATCCTGAAGGCATCTCCTTCTAACCAGTGTATCAGAAATCCTATTATAGTCTCACACACTGGATTGGGGAACACTTTTTTGAAAAGAGCCCAGTGCTTTTCTAGATCCACCTGCCCTCCATCCATCCTGGTCTCATCAGGCTGCAGGAAGACAATCCAACGTGCCCAGCAGCACATTAAACCATCTAAGCCTGTTGCTCACAGACACACACAAACTCCTGTATCCTTCAGAGGACAGCCCGAGGCTGCACATGGGGGCCACGCTTGCAAAATAGCTCACTGGATGGACAGCAGATCTGTCCTGAAAGCAGCTTCAGGGCACCCTGCAAAATTGAGCCCGAAAAAGAACCAACATGACTCCTTGCAATAGTAACAGTAACCCCATGAGAACTCACTGTTGGACAGGGACCTTTATGAAATGATCCTCCTCAGCTAAAACTTTTAATTGTTTTCTCACCAAAGCAATCCCAAGACCTGAGTTTAAATTCCTAGTAACACATTACTGGGGGAGGCAAGGGGGAAATAAATATGGGGAAAAAAAAAAAAAAAAGGTACAGTCCTGGTAATGCATATTCATTAGCTACCTTTTACAGGGAAACTTCTCCCCAAGGTGATTCAAGATCTTGGGAGTTTAATGTCCCAAACGAAAATACTTCCTCCACCTTCTAAATATTTAACCTGCATAACATTTATTGACATAATACACTTAATTAGAAAAACGTCCTTGGATTTATTACCTTGGATTCAAGGATGTCTGTAGCTATCATGCATTTTAAAGCAGAATAAATTTCATGGTGCATGCCAGTTGAGCTGGACTAAACTGACTACTTTTTAATGTGCTCACATAGTTTAAAGGGACAACAGACAGAATATTAGCTGCATTGGTCTAATATGTTCATAACTAATGTTTGAAGACAGTTCTTTGAAGTTATTACCATTATTGATGCACCTTCCCTGGAGGTGTTCAAGGCCAGGCTGGATAGGGCTTTTAAATGACCCGGTGTAGTGGAGGATGTCCCAGCCCAGGGCAGGGGGATTGGAACTAGATGATCTTCAAGGTCCCTTCCAACCCATTCTACCTTTCTATTTGGAATCACCTATGTGTCTAATTTCGTTCACATTATGCAAATACATTGTTTTGGGAATCCTTACAATGTATTCAACTCGAAAATACCCATAAACAAAGCCATGCAAGATGTTTCCTGTTTTCATGCAACTCTAAATCCTTACTTGTACATAAATTGTATTCCCCCCTCCCCCATTTTACTCAGCTTCAATTTTATACTTATTTTTCAGAATAAACTTCCAAGCGCTTTGCAGGGAACACAGTCCGCCCATCCAAAACAGCCCCTGCAGTAAAAACTTTGGCAGACTCCTGAGGTTTATTACGGCTGGCCTTCAGGCCGGCTGATAGCGCTTTTCCCCGGAGCAGCAGCACTCCCGGAGACGCCCAGCCACCCCATCACGGGCAGGGGAACATCCCCGCAAGCCCTGACCGCCCCCCGGGCCGCGGGGCTCGGCTCCCCGGGGCAGCGCAGCGCCGGGAAGCGCCCGGAGCGGCTCCTCGCCGGGCCCCCGCCCGCCGGCACCTCGAGATTCAGTGTCGCTTATCGTGAGGGGTCAGCTGTTTATATTTATAGCTCAGGGCTTGTTTCTGTCCGAGTGGCATTTGGAGGCGCAGGCGGGCTGGGCCGGGCCGGGGGATGTGCGCGGCACACGGCCGCCCGCCCGGGCACGTTCGGGAGAGGGAAGGGGACCGGGGATGGGGAGCGGGGAGGGAGAAAAGCAGCGGCAGCGAGGAGCGGCAGCGGGAAGGAGAGGGCGCTGGAGGGAGGAAAGGCGGAGCAGCGGGGGACAGAGGGGACCCGCACGGGGAGGAGGGCGCCGGGCCGAGAGGAGCTGGGGCAAAGCGGGAGCCGAGGGGAACGCAGCGCGGGGAAGCGCCCAGGGAGTGGCTGAAAGAGCCGGCTCGGCACCCACCTGGCACCGGCACACAATATCCGACTCGGTGGCCAGCAGGTCGACCACCTTGCCCTTGCCTTCGTCCCCCCACTGCGCCCCCAGCACCACCGTCACTTTGTTACCGCCCGGCTCGCTGCGCGCCCGCTTCAGCCCGCCGGCGGCGGGGTGGCCGCTGCGGTCGTTGGACGCTCGGGTGCCCGACATGCTGGGTGGGAGGGTGGCTGTGGCCGCAGCAGCCGCCGCCTCACGCTGCCTCGCTCCCCGCCGCCGCCGAGCCCTGCGCGCTGCCCGCGCCGCGCCGCCGCCGCCCGCATTTAAGGGCGCCGCCGCCCGCCCCGCGCTGACGTGCGGGCCGCTGCCCCTCGGCCTCGGCCGCCCGCCCGCCCGGCCGAGCTCACACCACGGTCCAGACCCACATCGACAGGCAGACACACAGACAGACACACAGACGCACACACTCTCTCTCACAGCACCTCTGGCACTCCCAGTCCCCTCACACACACTGTACTGCCTCACAGGCACAGTCCCCTCACACCCCTCACACACATGTTCACAGAGCACCCCACAAGAGCACGGTCCCCTCACAGGCACAGTCCCCTCACACCCCTCACACACATGCTCACAGAGCACCCCACAAAAGCACAGTCCCCTCACAGCCCTCACACACATGCTCACGGAGCACCCCACAAAAGCACGGTCCCCTCACAGACACAGTCCCCTCACACCCCTCACACACATGTTCACAGAGCACCCCACAAGAGCACGGTCCCCTCACAGACACAGTCCCCTCACACTCCTCACACACATGCTCATGGAGCACCCCACAAGAGCACGGTCCCCTCACAGACACAGTCCCCTCACAGCCCTCACACACATGCTCATGGAGCACCCCACACGAGCACGGTCCCCTCACACTCACGGTCCCCTTGCACACAGGCTGTGAGCTGTGAGGAGTGCATTCCCCAGGGCATGCATGTACCGGGCACCTCAGAGGGATGCAGGCAGGCCCTTGTCACTCTCAGGCAGACACATCGGTCTGAGATGAGCCTGTGGTACGGACAGACAGATGGACAGACATCAGTCTGTGAGGCGCTCTCACGCAGGGGTCTGAAACTGTGTCACTCTGTCAGGGGGCTGCATGGCAGAGTCACAGCACACGGGTTCAAGGCGTGTGGCTGTCACAGCGGTCTGAGGCCTGTGGGGCTGTGTCACAGACACATGTTGTACTGAGGTGCATGGCTGTCGCTGTGACACTCACAAGCACGGTCACTGTTACTGAGGTGTCAGGGTCTTGGGCACAGGAGCTGTTGTCCCCGTGAGACACACACACACACAGAGTCCTGAGGCACATGACCCTGTGTCACTGACAGACAGGCAGGCAGGCACTGGCCGGAGGAGCACAGGCTGCTGTCACTGCAAGACAGATGCTGCCCTGAGGCATTTGGGATTGTTGCTGTCAGACATGTGGGGAATTGCACTCTCAGAGAAGCCTGGCATGTGCACAGGTACACTCAGAGTACCCTGTGATACGTGACAATTGGAAGGAAAGGGACAAGCACACAAGCTGCTCCAGCACACCCAGATCATGAGACACAAACATCCACCCGCTGGCCTGAGAAACGCGGGCAGGCACACTCCGAGTTTGACTGACACACACGTTAGCCTAAAATACATACGACTGTTGTTACTGCACTGGCACTTGCCCTGTTGATAGGCACATACATAGTCTGTTCCATGGCCTGAGACGCTCGAGACTATTTTGGCGAGGCACACATGCACACCCACACATACACTCGCACACTGACCCGAAAACAAACCCACAGGGCCATCCCTTTGAGACAGATAAACAAGTGAGGCATGTGGAGCTGTGTCACAAGGACGGATTTAAGCACCCACTTCTCTGTTGTGACAGGCGAACAGACCATGCCTGTCACCTATAACCCCTTACCCATGCATGATCACAGGCTAGGCTTGGCTTTTTTGGCAGCACATGTTCTGTAACTCCAGGCGTGTTGGCACATTGTGCTTTATAAAAGTGAGTTGAAATGTGTAGCGTTAACAGACTAGTCTGAGGCACATGCACTGGTGTTAGTGTGAGGTGTGTAAATGCATGTGTGTACCAGCACACACACACATGCACGGAGGCAAAACAGCAGAAAATACCAGGCTGCAACTTCAGTGCAGGGGGAGCTGCACCAGCTGCTGCTTCCATGCTCCTCTTGGCAATTGCGTGCGTGTGATCCCTACCAAGAGAGCAAGGGACAGAAATTCAGCATTTTCCAGTGGCACATTCCCTCTCTTACACTCTGACTCAGATGAGATGCTGTGATATTTATGAGATTACACAAGCACATAGTTTGTGCAGTCATCAAAATACAGAAGGGTAGATCCACAACCTATTACTGTGGCAGAAGGATGAAAAGAAACTATTGGAATACTCTAATGAACTCCTGAGAAATAAAAATATCCAGTGTGTTCAGCCCACTTCAAACATGCATATTTGTGCCTTGTATGTGGCATGTAAAGCTCTACCCATTGCTGTAGACATACGTGGATGCATTTATATATGTGCATGTACAGGTCATAATCCAGACTCCAGCACCTGGTAGGGATTCATGATGTCAAAAGGAGGAGACATTTTCTTTACTTCAATTCTAGCACTTGCAGCGTTTCTTCTGGGAAAAAGAGGCAGAGAAAATTTAACACTGTATATGCTCCAGTTGAGTATGTAGCAGGAAACAGTGGTGGTAATAAATATGGAAGACAGGAAGGGAACTCCTGATGTTTGAGCCTAGTTCTCTGGCTTGTGCAGTCAGTGAAATCCTACAGCACCTCGCTGTTCCTATTGAATAAGTTCCAGAGCTGTTCTAGTTAGAAACTTCTGCTAATTTCCAGCCTTCTGCCTGATTTATATCCATATGTTCTATGCTGATGTTGCCATTTAGTTTAAATACTTCTTCCTTTCCCTTCCCTGTGTGTTTATTTATAGACAGAATTACAGTCTCCAGCTATGTTGTTCAGCAGAAAGACAAGATTTTTTTTGCACTTCTCTCAAGGCAGACTCTCAAACTGCTGATGATTCTCACCTGCCAGCCCTGCACCTGTTCTGTTTTTTGCTGTTTCTTGAATATGGGCAGAGAGAATTGTACACTGTGGTCCATGTCAAGTTTCCCTGTTACCTTCTACCAGGCAGTTAGTCTTCTCTTTTCAGATGGAAATATCTCACCTAAGATATTCCTGGACTTGCCAAGTTTCACATACGTGGTGAGAGTCAGCTCCTTTCTCACACCCCACTGCAGTGCTGGTATCTCACACACTGAAATTCCGCTGACTCTTTCTGCAATTCGCACTTCACATGCACAATTCAGCTGCTTGGCATTTCATGCATATATTCACAGCCAGATGCCACGTGTGATCTATTGTGGCCTGTGAGATGAGACTCCAGCTTGGGTTTTGGAGTTATAGAGTTTTGACCTTTATTTTTATCATGAACATTATTTCGGTTTAAAGGATGTGTGGTGGGTTGACCTTGGCTGGAGCCAGTTGCTTCTGGAGTTGCTCTATTGCTCCCCTCCTCAGCAGAATGGGGGCAGAGAAAATAAGATGACAAAACCCCTCATGGGTCAAGGTAAAGGCAGTTTTCTGAAGCAAAACCAAAGGTCATGTGCATACAAGCAAAGGAAAAACCAAAAAGATGTAATTCTCTACTTCCCATCAGCAAATGGTGCTTGAGCACTTCCTGGGGTGCATGGCTTCTGCACGTTTAGTGGTTGCTCTGGAAGACAAATGTCATAAATAATAAATGGCCCCCTTCCTCCTTTCTCTTTGCTTTACCTGAGTAGACCCTTTGATCAGTTTGGGTCAGCTGTCCTGGTTATGTCCCCTTCCACTTGTGAAGGGAGGAATGTTAGAGAGACGATGATGTGCAAGCACCACTCAGCAGCAGCCAAAACACTGCTGTGTTATCAACACCCTTCCAGCTACCATTGCAAAGCACAGCTCTAGCTATGGGAAAAATGGATTCCATCTCAGCCAGACCAAATGCAGGAATTAGTTACTGTGAATTCTTTTAAGACATTTTATTCCTTCAGTCTAATATGCACCACAACTTCTTGAGCACAGGCATTACTCTTTGGACTTCTTGCCCTGGTACCAGGCAGTCTAAAGCTGCCCAACATCAGACCACTCAAGCTTGAACTTGTTCCATCTCATGTGGGAACACGCAGCACTGCCCATTTTCTCTTCCAAGCCACACAGTGACAGCTTGTGGACCTCATCTAAAGAACTTCTGCCCTGGTCTGTCACCCCCTTAAATGTACGCAGCCAGTCTGGTCCTGCTGAGCAGCAGAAATTATCGTTAGTGATTTCTCTTTAGCTGCCTTTGTAATTGTTCTCAGCCCATACTCTGCAATACGTTGAGTGTCTTAATGAAACCCCTGTCTACTGCATTTCATCTGTCTTGATAGCTGTCAAAGGGATCCACTGCCAGAGTGATCTGGTTTGACTTTTGCTTTTCCATTTTGTAGTTTACCCTGGTTTTATTCACCTCCAGGCTTTATTTTCTTTAAAAAATTCCTCTAAACCTTCCCTTACCATTCTGACGTGTTTCAGAGTTTTTTTTGCTACTTAATAACAAAATAATTTTGTCCATAAAATAATAAAGATTGTGCCATCTCCTTGTAGAATAAATATTTTTCGGGCATTGTGTTTATGGCTGTTTTTACAATTTGAAACAGGAGCCCCAAGGACAGTGAAATGTAGCAGTAGCATCCCTGAATTCCCTCACTGATTCTCCTCTAATTCTCCTCAAAACTGAAGACTTGCGAGTCAGCTCCACACAAACAGAATACAAATACATCCTTTGCTTCAAAAATACATATTCTCGGTGGTGTTCCTCTGCAGAAGAAGCTGTTTACAGCTACATTTTGGAGTTAGAGAGGATGTTGGTGATCTATTTATTATTTTTATGGCATTTAACATTGCCATTCTTGCACGTTTGGTTTTTTTCTCTCTTTATGGTACTCTATACCTAGCAGTATAGAACTCAAATATTTTTCCATATTAATGTTATTGTTGTTCTTGCATTTGGTTGGGTTTTGTTTATGGTCTGGTTTTCTTGAAAGCAAATCATCCTGATGTGACCACGTGTAGATTTGCCTACTTAAGGATAGACTCCAGTCTTTTTGACAGAGATGATAGACTTTTCTGCTCTTTGGTCTTTGTGGACGTGATCATGTGTAAATTTGCCTACTTAAGGATAGACTCCAGTCTTTTTGACAGAGATGATAGACTTTTCTGCTCTTTGGTCTTTGTGGACCTCAGCCACAATGAATAACTTTCATGTATCTTCCGAAAAGGTACATTCACTGTCCTTCTGAGATGGCCAAAAATTCCAGTTTTATTTTCTTTCTTGTGCCACCAATGCCAAACCTTCTGTTTCTGTAAACTGTTCTGCTGGACACTTTGAAAGCAAACTAATCAACCAGGAGAACACTCCTCATTATAAAAATTAAAATAATTTAACTAATCATAGAAAGAATACAAAGCAGGTTAATTATCTGAAGTGAGACACTAAGTGCCACACTTCTAACACCAAGTTAAAAGGAAACTTAATTCCACTGAAAACAATGGATTTAAATACATTTTGATGTGTGAGATGGAAGAAACAAACAGATGTCTAAGGTAGATTTTGCTCAGTTAAAAGCAAATGTTTGACTTTTAAATTTAGTAAGATATTAACAGTGAGGTCATGCAGAGTGCCATGAGACTTGTAAGTGCCACAGGAAGGCAGCAGCCTTGTGTGATTCACCTGGTGCTGGGCTCTGATAAAGAAGGGAATGAGCTGGTAGTTCAGTAATCAGAATTGGTGTCTCAGACTAGCTCCCTGTTCCTCAGAGCTCCTCCATTAAAACCAATTCATCTGGCAACACTTGACCTTTGCAAATTCACAGGAAAACTTCAAGCATTTGCCATCTCAGATAAAAAACTGCAGTGCTTTTTAGTTCTGGGTGACTAATAAGAGCAAAATACGTGCACATGATTAAAGCAATGCACTTTAGATTTACTTCAGAATAAATTAACCCAAACGATACTGTTTCTTTTCAGAACTGCATTTTTACCAAACACCTGTTTGTTCATATCCCTGATAAAAATAGCAAAATGGTGCAAAAGCACATGAAGATCTATATTTGGAATAAAGAACTAATTAATTGGATAAAGTATACATCAAATCATAAAGACAGTATTTGCACTTCCACTTTATTTCCTATTTCCATGAAAGACTTGAAGCATACAAAAAAGTGTATTTATTGAATGTACAGGTGAATGAAGTTGAAAGCAACGAGTATCATGCTGGAGAGCAGGATGCCTCTCTGAATAAGGGTCAAAATGTTAACATGGTTGTAGAAGAAGCCAAATATCTCGCTGAGATGGAAGAACACCCTGTAAAATGCAGGCAGGTGTTCTTTCTCTGTCTTTGAGATTTGCTGAAGACCCAGCACTGCACAGTGGGGAAGATGAGATCCATTTGATAAAATCAGGAAGAGATCCACAAGTGCATGAACACAGATGTGGAAAATCCTGAGATGCAAATACTACGAAAGCCCTGGGCTGAAAAGCTGTTAGTCCAGTAAAAAGGAGACCAAAGGTGACATGATAACAGCCTGCAAATATGGAAAGCCTGCTGCAAATTACAAGGGAGTGGTAATGTGTTTTCTCTGTGGTGCATAGGATGAAATGAAAAGTGTTTGCATGTTTTATTAGATTAAAAAACTGATTAATCTGATAAGCATGGACAGGTGTGTAAAGCTTTAATAAGCTTGAAACAAAAGCTGTGAATAAGACCATCTTTGCTCCAACAATACTCATAAGGATCACATTTGAGCACAGCAGCACCTTGTCCAGATTTCAGGATTTCAGGGTTTTTTTGAGAAGAGTTTAGGTAGAAATGATTCAACTTTAACTGCTTTGAGTTAGACCAACTTTACTAACTGTATATGTCCCAGAGCTGTAGGTATTTTCTGAGAGTTTGGCCCAAACTCTCAAAAGGTACATTGAAAGGCACACCTGTTTAGATGCCCAGGACAAACAGTTAAGCGACATTTAAGAAGTTGTTCAGCTGCCACCTCAACCTGCAGTCACTTACACACTTCCTGGGAGTGTGCTGCCCATTCAGCCATAAGCTCTCACATCAGGTGGCTTTGCTGCCAAATCACTTCCTCATGAACATTGAATGTATAAACTGGAGCAAATACCCCACAAAACTGTATTTGGACTGTCACTCCAGATTGCCTGAGGATTTAAGGGTTTCAGGTGTGATGTGACAGACATTGCTGCATTAGATCTCTTTTTGCCAGCTAGAGATGTGAACGTTATTTTGTCTTGGTATCCCAAATGGAAACTTTTAATGGGTGAATGGTTTGGGTTGGAAGGGCCCTTAGAGATCACCTAATTCCAACCCCTCTGCCATGGGCAGGAACAACTGCTGCCAGACCAGGTTGCTCCAATCCCCATCCTGCCTGGCCTTGAACACTCCCAGGGATGGGACACCCATAAATTCTTTCTCTCTGCCCAACAAATAATCAAGCTGATACCAAAACCAGAAGTTTCTTCACATCATTTCAGCTGAGTAAATATTATACACAGAAATAAGATGTCATAAAGCCTGTGGAAAAATTTAAAGACACATTTAAATGAAATGATCTCAACTTGACCCTTTCCAGCCAATAAATAGGTGGAGATTATGCAGGCGGATGTATATTTAAAAAGAAATTAAAGGAGCATTGCAATATGGTTATGCTCATTTATGCCTGTTAGAGCATGGGCTGAAGTCTGACAGGCACTTGGTAAAAAAACTGTGGCACTCATTGAACTCTTGGGTACAGAATGGCACAGGGTCAAGAATTTGGTTTTTTTTAAAAGAATTTTTCCAGTTTTCTAGAGCTCACGAGGAATTAATTTAACTGCTTTGCAGTTTTATATTGCCAGATGCAATTAAGAAGCTTTTTTCCCCCCTTCATTTATTCACCATCTTTTTTAGGAGATTAAGATCCAGATAATCTGTCCTGTCATTTGCACTTTAATAAAATAAAAATACCATTACTGTATTCACTATCAGCACAAGAAAATCACTTGCTCAGGATCTCACTTGCTAGTATGTCATTTAAATCTGCAACTAATAAGCCTCACAAATTTTGTTTAGCTCTGTTTACTAAAATGAAGACATACAAAAGTAAAATTCATCCTGGGTTACAAAAACATACTGGAATACAATGCAGTTGTAAGTAAACTCTGCACTGAAAGTTATACTTATCCTTTATACACAGTTTCTAAGTCATTATAACATGCTTTATAAAAGCCAACTCAAGCAATAGAACAATGACCCAGTAAGATTTTAGCAGCAGAATATCAGCGGATTCCCCCAGCTCTTGAAAACTAAATGCTTTTACTATTGCAAGAGCAATCTGTGTTGGTGACATTTTACCATATTTCAGCTTGTTTCTTACAGCCAAACATGTAAGTCCTGTGTAAAAACAGACAATAAGAATTTTACCAGAGGAAAGCTCTTGTTTTTGACCCTGGATATATCAATATATGGAATTGAATTAGGACTCTGTTTTTTGCAGTTGCTTTCTATGTGTAATGATAGCAGTTATACTCTGGAACTTTTGTACTGTTCATCAAAACTTACCTGCTCTTTATCTTTTAACAACATTTCATTTTCTGCTGCAGTTACAATATTATAGTGGCACATGTAAATATTCACCAGATATTTAAATGCATATTTTCATGTTTTGTTCTTAAGTGTTCTTGTTCTGTTTCTTACTCTGGTCATTAGCTGTATCCCCAAATTTCCATTAGAAGCAGCTAATTTTTCCACTTAGTTAGCTAAAGAAACCTCTAGATGTTATTTCTCTCATAGTAACATATATACAATATATGTTATTTTTCTTGAAGTAACATATAAAATATAGAACTTGCAATTATCTGATAAAATTCACCAGAAGAATTTAAATGCCTAGTAATGAAAGCTACTGCAACGGAAGCTGAAGAAAATAAAGCAGGGGAGTTGCTTAATTCACTATGAAGCGTGTGGAGAAAAAAAACCATGCATACATATATAAACGTGTCCAGAGGAGTTAAAAAAATCCCCAGCCATTGAATGTCTGAGTCGCTGAAATCAGCATGAGCTTGTCACCAAATTACTTTGGAAATCTTATCTTTAATATTATTCACAGAAAAGTTGTTTTTAATATATGGAATCAAGTAAGGCATTGCTCAGTTGTCTAAATAGTACCCTCCACTTGAATTTTGATAACAGTTTTTGATTCAGTTTTGTTCTCAGCAGCTGAAGCCCTCACTTGTAATCTCTACATACATCACCAATGGGTGCTTCTGACTTTACTCTCCTGTTTGAAATCCAGAGAGTGACATTATTGCTGGCCCTAAGGGACATTGGTGCTGTGTGCTGTCCCTGGCAGATCTGTCAGCTGCAGAGAAATGATCCTCAGACAACTGGACAAACCAGATATTCACACTGACAGAGCATGTGACTGGACTTAAGGTCAGAGATTCAGAGACTGCAGGATTGGGACCTTTAAAGATCCCTGCAGAGGATTGCCCTGTGTGCTGTGTGGCACTGGCATTGAGGGAGGTACCTGCAAAGTTCAAGGGTTATTTCATTCTTTGTGGAACCAGGCCTTTACAATCCTGTAAGCACAGGCTGATAGGGGTTCACCAGTTTTACTGTCTTTTCATTCCCTGTTTCAGAAAAAAATTAACTTGTTAATTAAGTTCCTTAACTTGCTGATTATATGACTAGAAAAACCCCCAAAAACCCATTTTACATAGAATGAAGAATATTAAGATGAGCTTCAGTATCCTGCCGTGCCAGATCTGATACCCTCTGTTATTTTGTCACCATACTTTGATTTGAAAGAGGTTTTAAAAGTTCCAGATTGTCTTTGTCACCACTGCTATGCACAGTTTCTAAAATCAGTGCTGAAAAATAATTCAGACTCTAAATGCTCTTTATGTTCAAGTTTATACTCCCCAAGAATTAAATCCACCTTCTCACAAAGGAACAAAAATAATGACAGTTCCACCCAAACTGTCTCCTGGAAATACAGAAGGTTCTTCTGGTTTGGTGCCCCTTTTCTTTACCAGGTTGAAGCACACCTTTAATTCTTACAGCTGATAAATGTTGCTTCCCGATTTTATTTTATCATATACTTTATCATATACTAGGTTACTCTTTTGTATTTGTAGTCTTACAGCTGATAAATGTTGCTTCCCAATTTTATTTTATCATATACTTTGTTTTATCATATACTAGGTTACTCTTTTGTATTTGTAGCAAAATGATTTTTTTTTAATTTTAACCTGCAGCTTTACATTAAGTATGTTATAATTGCAAAGTATGTAAAACATATTTGTGCTAGAACTTGACAAGACAATATTGAAAACTTTGCTTAGTTCAGTTTTAAATGTATTTTATGTGTCTTAAAAATGTATTTCTAAAAGTGAATATCTGTGAAAAAGGATCTCAAAGGAGGCCATCTATTTAGACACCAGAGACAAGAAAAACAACAGTTTTGCAAGAGTTGAGCATCTAGCATAAAATTTACATGAACTCCACTCAGATGGAGTGGTTTCTGATGGCTTCTTTGCAGCGGTGCTCTGAAGAACCAAGAATTGTAAAGAAATGTTATTGGCAAAAACCTTCAATAAAAGCGGATGCCAAGTTTTTGCCAAAATAAAAATTTAAAATATACATATGCCAATATTAGCACTGGACATGCTTCACACCCAAGGAGGCTCAGCACAGCAAGTGCTTAGAATTCTGCATCAATCAGCACAGACACTTCTTTAAGATCTGACATAACTCCTTTAAAGGAATCAGATCTCTGATCAGAAGGTGGCAGATGTTGTGGTAACAATAACACCGGACACAACTTGCCTACTGTGCTGCATGAAGTTCAAGTGTGTGCAGCTTTCTATAACCCTAAAAGTCTCCCAAGAACTACTCTGAACAACAGCAGGACATCCTCCGCTTCTGAGCAAAGTAGGAGAAACTTGCTCATTGGGAGTGGTGGTTTTTTTTTCTAACATCCCTATTATGATTTCTTCCAAGCATTCACTTGCACTTAAAAATTGGTAATTGATGTCTCACTATGTATCTCCTTGATAACTACATCATCTAAGTCACTCTCATTGCATCAAATCTGCCAGAGCTAACAGAAATTCCTTCTAATTAACAAAAGATTAGCTAATAAAAACAATTAATTGCTAAATGTATAACATTTTCCATACTCTCCCTTTAGCCTCTTTGCATCTTCTCCTTTAAACGGTTTCTTCCTTTTCTCAGATTTTGCAGCTTGCTCCTTCCTTTCTTGATTTTCCTGCATTCAGACAGAATGAAAATAAAACAATAAATAAGAGTTTCTGAAGGAAAAGCTTGTTAAGAAGCTCTCAGTTTGTAATGAATAGGTATTCTGAACATGCCCTGTGTGCACTTAAAACTCTCAGCTGCTGGGGTTTGAGGGTAAATAGCAGAACAGAGCTTCCTGGTCAATCCCTTTGGCCTTATCCATGTGATGATGTTACCAGCAAACTATTTCATCAGCTTTAACTGCAACTTTCAACTATGGACTGAAATGCATTCTTCTTAATTAGTCCCTTTGTTCACAATAGAGAACATTAGTTTAACTTAATTAGCATTCTAGAGATTTATCCCATAGCAACCTTGTTTGTATTCAGGGATTTCTACCAGAATTTTCAGGAGCTGTTCAGCTGTGTTAAACAGCAATTCAGTTTCTCTTCAGGCTCTCATTAAATTTGCCAGTAGTATTTCTGCACTACAGTTCAGGGCCAGAGTCCGGGCTGGATGTTTATTGGTACCACTCACACAATTGCCAGAATGGCATAAATCCTGTTGGGATTTATGTAGATAGGCAGGATTCTGGTCTCCACAGAGCTGCTGGTACCAGAATAGCAAAATTAATGGAGGAAATAAGGATTGGAATGATTACTGCTAGCAAAAGAAGATGATTGTTCAGTGGAAGAGTATTCCTGGCTTTTGATAACTAGCACAACAGTGGGAGAAGGCAGTTCTGAACATCTAAGATAACTGTAGTATAACAAAGATGATAAAAGCCATTTTCTTAAATGCTCCTGCAGTTCTTGTTCCAGAGCTGCATTTGTCATCAGAACATTGCCATCCCACCTGGAAGCTTGCCTGCTTTTGATTGCAACCAGTGAGTAGTTAATCTACACATTGCAGGTAGATCACTACTTAACAGGCTGCTGTGTCATATCACACAACCTAATAACATCCAGGAAGATGCTGATGATTTGGTGCAGACAAGATTTTTGATGAGACATGTGTGGTCTGCTTTGCAGAGAGTTTGAAGCAGAAAATACAATTTCCCACGATAGTGATAAATCTGTTTGATTGCTATGGATCATCTGCCACTATTTCCATAAGATGAGCTGAACAAGTCCAAGAAAATGTGCACAAGTTTATAGAACTAGCCTTTATAGAAAGCAAAAATCTAGGATCCTTTGGTCCAAAGGAACTTTCAAACAAATCAAGAAAACTTGTGAGCAGCAACAGAGTTAATCCGTTTGAAATATAGGAGCACTAGAAGCTCAAGGTTGTGGAAACTGTCACTGGGTGCCCTGAAAAGGAAAAAATCCATGTACTCTTGACAGAGAAAGAAAATTATCCATTTGCCCCAAACAGAGGGTGCTTCTGAAAAAATGGGATACAGGTGAAGCCTTATGGAGAGGCTAGAAGCCTTCCATCAGTATAGGCAAGTACATTTCCTATGTGTTTGCCTGATAAATTCCTGCTGTCTTAGCATAACATCTTTGAGATACTATGGCTGAGACACTTGCAGATTTTTGGGCTCTAGGAGAATGTCTCTATGTAATACACCATAAGAAATAAAGGATGTGAACTCAGGGATATGTTGTTGTGCTAATTGTGCTAATTAAACAGCACACACAGTAGTGAGAACAAGCTAAAACACATTAGGAATAAATTTATCAATTGAGCAAGCCTGAACCAAATTTTTCTTCAGAAAAATTGTAAAAAAAATCCCAAACAACCTAACAATTCAATGTAAACACACTTAAAGTTTCTTCAACACAAGAAAGTCCAAAAAGGTACAGTGGTAGTAGGGCAGAGAAATGAATACTCACAATCCCTTCTCCACCTTCCTGGGTTAGTGAAGGCAGCTGCAGGGATGAGATTCAGTGAAAGAGGGAGTCACTTTGGATTTGCACTTTGTGGGATGTTAGATACTTGGTTGATTTTTGAATTTAAAGATGCCCCAGGACAACTGTTTATCCCCACATTATCTAAAGCACATCGTGTTCCATCACCATATGCACCCTCCTGAAGAGCAGCTGCTCCAGCATGGTTGTCCTAGGGGAGGGCACAGAGGAGCTACCCCTGTGCAGAGCTGTCTGTAAAACAACTGTCAACAACTGAATACTTCCTAGAGCAAATTTTGTGGAACATTTTTTTTCTCCTTTTCCTGAGATTAGACCATCTCTTTGCTGGGAGGTCCCTTCTATGAACAGCTGTAAATGCTAAGGGAAATCAGATGTTTCCCACAATCCCCTATAATCACGCAGTGCTTCTTTTCCCCACAATTTTACCACTCAGTTCTCAGCAAAACTCCATTTCTGATTTTTTTTGTCTTTGAGCTGAGGAGTTATTTTCTCCCTGTCTCCTTCCTCCTGCCATCTGCTTCTTTTATTTTTTGAGAACTGGTGGAACAGTCATCAGCCCTGGGTGACAAACCAGCTCCCTTGCTTCCTTTCACTGCCAGTTTTGGATATCATCTGGGTATTTGGAAAGGCTTTATTGATTTGGGCTTTTTTCCTCCAGGTAGATGGAGAGAAAGATGGCAGAGCCTTATTAAAGTAATTCCTTTTGTGTAACTCAATTTTTTGATTACCTGAAGGATAAGAGATCAGAAAGAACCCTCAGGGAAGGGAGAAAAATTTTGTTTGAGCAAAGTAACAAACCCCAAATCTCTGTAGATAAGCTTAGGAGAAATGAAGAATCACTATTTATCGAAACTATTTCCCCTTCTTATTTGATGTGGGAATGGAAAGATAGCACTAACAATTTTGGCAGTGCTAAGAGACCTGCTTTACACAGAAGACTCATCTCAAAATAAAAGTTACACCTTAGCATTAAAGCTTAAAATAAATGGCACTGGGATGAGATTATCCCTGTGGCTGATTCTAGTGTAAAAATCAAAATCACAGAATAAAAAGATGCTTTAGAAATTAAAACCTTCAGCTTTTCAGCATGTTGCTATTTCAAGTACAAATAGTATCTTTACTGTGGTGATAGTAAGAAAGCAAGGCAAGAGGAAGAGGAGATTAATTCTAGGTCTGCAGTAGAAGAGAGGTGCAGACAACATGACTAATAGCTGTGGTACCTTCGAGGTGAGGTGCTGCTGAGAAATGGAACTCAAAATGAGATGAAAGGGAGTTTACATTTTGGGATATAAAAAGAAGCTTCTTTCTAGTTGCTCTGACCTCGCTGTGAGCAAGAAGCACCCAGAAATGTAGTTTGAATCTCCTGCAGCTGTACTAGGACACTCCATAACCTTTACTGGGATTGTTTCCTGAAAAAACTGCCATTGCTGAAATCACCCTTCACAGTAAAGTATAGCTCTCCACAGGTGCTGACCCATTATGTTCTTGACTCTCTTAGTTTTTTCCTTGGTGCCTAGAGTTTTAGGAACTTTAAGGACCAAACATATTGCTAAAACATCTGTGGTATGTAGGGTTAATTTTCCAGACTGTCTGTGGCAGTATCATATAATTTCAGAGCTTGAATAGCTGTGTTGCTTGGAAAATTTCAGTTCAGTGCTTTACTGGAGAAGTGGGTAGTGGGAACAATAGAGGATATATTTTTTGTCTTTCATCTTTCATCTTCTATAACTGCCTCAGAAATTTCATTGTTTTCATCTGAATCGATGATCTGCCCTGAAGCACTCCTCCAGTCTTCTTTTACTTTCATTTACTTCTGCAACCAGGGTTACATAGCCCAGTTTAGAGTAGAAGGAAATAGAAATTATTGCTTGATTAAAAAAAAATAAATTCTCAACCTATTTCTAAACAGTCACAAGGGCAAACCACCTGTAAGGTCCTGAGGAAAATCTCTCTGAAGGTTTTCATTGTGCTGAATACATCTTCCAAAGACAGTTTTGTTCGGTCTTCACAAAGATAATCTGCAAGTTCTTCCTTCTTCTTTTCAATGGTGGCAAATTCCTTCTGCAGGTCCTTTGAAGCATTGAGGCTGCCCTGAAACACATTTTGTAACACATTTTATGCATATTAAAAAGTAGCATATTCTGAGTTGCCCAGAAGACTTCAGTCACTTAACAGAGAGCAGTCAGTTTTTTAAAAAACTAACAACTGAGATTGGTTCAAAATGTATGATACTTATTTCTGAACTGAATCATCTGCATTTTCCCTCATTTAATCATACAACCACGTGGAAATGTGGCACAACCTGGGATGACTGAGCAAGGGACATGCAGCACCAGGATTTCTGCCTTACAGCTTTAGTTAAGTGACCCGTTCTGAGAATATGAAAATCTAGGATGCTAGGAAATATGATTTTGGGGGTGGGAGGGAAAAGCATATTGCAAATCTATTCACTTTTCTCCCCACAAAGCACAGTGAGACAAAGCATGCTTCTGTGCTGCACTATACACATTTATAGTTGCAGCCTACGTTCCTTTTTTAGGGCTTTCCTTTCTTTTTCCCACAGAAAAACCTGTCTGGTCCTCAGCTGTTTCCATATCCCAGTACCACATTACAGAAAGGAGGAAAATCTGGGATACGCCTTCCATCAGGGCACAGTGGGAGGGTATAATGACCCTTTTCCATTGGGCTTTATATCCAGTTGTAACCCGAATGACACTGCCTTTAAGAAGAGAGTGCTTAGGAAGAAAGACGGGAAACATGTCACACTCACATTACCTACTTGCACAGATTTTCCATGCTGTATTTTTAAATCATCTGTTGACAAAAATAAACGCTTCTCTATTTCCAACAGTTTCTTCAAATTGGCACCTGCCTCAGCCTGCATGGCGTCAATGTGGATTCTGCAAGGTCCACAAAAGGGACTGTACATTAAAGGGGTAAGTCTTTTGTTTGCATTAACTTAAAAGGTTATTATAAACATTATCATCTCTGCAAATGAACATGGAATTTATTGTCCAGCCCAGACCCTGCTTTTGCAGGTAGCTCTTTTCTTTAAAAATGCTTTTTCATGTGCACAAACCCTCATCTAAGAAAGGCTCTATGCTTTTGCCCTCACTACCTCCCTGGATGGACTGTGGAAGAACCTCACTGTCCGAGTATTCAAAAACTCCAAAAAAATTCCAGCCTATTTTTATTCATAGGCAACACAAGCTCATCTCCCCTGTGCCAACACTGTCCTTATGTAGCTGGTTCTTCTCCCTCCTTGCCTTTTCTCCCCAGTCTATTTATAGTCCAAAACTGTATCTCCTCTCTGTGTTACTTTAGCTTGTGTGGAGATCCAAACACAGCCACTGCCAAACCAACATCTTCTGTAGTTCTGAACTCTCTCTGGGCCAGACAAAATTTACTGAATCAGCAAAACCTGGCTTGGTGTTTCATGGTGCATCCAGATGTGAGCAGCATTAGGAGAGTCCCTTGCAGGATTTGCACCATGCACAGCTCTCCACAGGTTGATTAGCAAATCAATTTTGTAAGTTTGAGAGTTTGATTAAAGTAGAGGGCAATTACATTATACAAGAAGTACATTTATATCATTGGCCAGAAAGATCTAGTTTCAGTCAAGAAAAGAATTTCTGTTATAACACAATCCAAAAACAGCATTCAGTTTAGCTTCTGCAAAGCTAACTCACAAAAGCCACAGCGTTTTTCTGTTTAATTATAGAATTAAAATACTTTCAAAAAATTATTTAGCAGCTAGATAATAAATGTCAATCCATTGGCAGATTTAAAAGTTACTCCTTATTTGAGTTACAATGAAATCTAAATCACTACAAGGTTCCTGTGAATCCTCTGAATTTGTAACAGGATTAAAAATGTTAATCCCAGTGCTACAAATGGGGATTCTGATTGGTATAATTGAACATATCTACATGTGATTCCTTTGAGTTAAAGAGAAAGAGCTGACAATGGGAGAAGTCAAAAGTCTCTAGAAACAGGTTTTTTCTTTTCTACCCACATGTATCAAAAACCCGTGCTGATAGTCAACTCTGGTAAGTCCCCCCCAGTTGCCAGTAAACCACCCCAATAATTTCCTTCTTACAAAAGCTTTGTACCTTCAGATGGGCTTTCACCTAAAAATCACGGAATGTGCTGAATTTGAAGGGACCCACCAGGATCCTCAAGCCCAACTCCTGGCCCTGCACAGGATCATCCCCAAGAGTCACATTGTGTGCCCCAAAAATATTGTCCAAACACTTCTTGAACTGACTGAGAAGCCTCCGGAAAAATATGTTTCTATTGAAATATGTGGAAGAGGACTCTGGTCCTTGAAAATGAGGGAAATTCACGATTTACAAAGTTTTCTTCTAAAGTAGTACTGGATCCACAGAAAGAAAATCACACTGAGCCCCAGCTAAAAGTCTTAACCAGGTTGAACTATAAAAATTTCAACACTGTTTGGTGCTGAAGGGAACCACTCTTTCCTACCGCAGAGAAATCCTGTGACCTTATTACACCATCATAAAATGACTCAGCTCCTTGCTGGCTTTAAAGAGGTTGGCAATTCATACATGACAAAAACAAACAATAATGTCCTACCCCACTGCCTTGGAAACAAAGTCAAGATCTCTGGGAAGCTGCAGGAGATCTCTATGTTTTTTTTCAACTTCCTAAAATTGAAGAGAAAAAATGGTTATCTAATACAGGCTGTCAAAGAGCATGGAAGTTTTTCAGCTGGACAACATCAGGACTGAAAACTTAACACTTCAGTTTCGTTCTTATAAACGTAGGGATAAATTTAGTCTTGTTCATTCTTTTTCTCATGTGGGCATCCACAGGGAGTTAAAAAGAAAGGAAAAGACTCATTTTAAGTTCTCAGGCTGACATCCCATGGGCTGCCACAGTGTGCAGGCTGACCTGAGATTTTTGTCTTCATACCACAAAAATAAATTTAATTTGACAGATGCATTGAGATATGTGTCAACACAAGGGAGCAGTTGAAGAAGAGAAAGAAAACAGTAAGCAGACATGTCAAGTGAACTTGAGGAAGGAAACCTAGTGTTATCTCCCTCAATATTACTGTGCATGGATGTCATCTCATCTGCACAGAGAGCTGTGGAGAAATTTTCATGGTATTTCCAGCACAGAGGCTTACCCTCCAGGTACCTGTAGTGGGGTATTACAGAGGTAAAAGCCTCTTAGCTTCTGGGGAATTAATATTTGAGAATAATGCACACAAGATTAATTTCTCAGTTTTGTTGTACCTCCAAAATATGGTGAAGCAGAGTAATGTTGTTTTGGTTTGCTTTTGTTTCTGTCAGTTTGAGCAAAGCACTAATTTTAAAACCTCCAGCATCTCCAGTATGACGCCCCTGGAAGATACATAAAAAAGTTCCTTCCTTCAGTTTTCAAGTTTTGCATTATTTTCTGTTATCTTTTTAATACAACAAGTAAAGAAATCACTTTACTTACATAATTCAGAAAGTTTCCAACTTTAAGAATCAATTGGCAAAACACTGGCAGTCGGTGACTGGTAAGAATCGCTAAAGAATAAGAAGAGAGACATTTTCAATAAATTAAATTATCTGAAATAGGATTTTCATTAGGTTTGACGGTGATGATAACAAAATTTTCATCCAAGATTATGTCAAGCCATTGTTATGGATTTGGAAAAATACCAATACAGAAATAAATCAGCTGAATGGAAGTCAAATGAATAACTTTCTATTATGATCTTTTCTTTACAAGTAGATGGAAAACTAGTTTTTCCATTAAGTTTGGAGTATTGATGTGTCAACCCTGCAGCAGCTGTATGAAGAAGAATACAAGACCACACACAAGAAAGCATATAAACTTGTGAAAGTCTATAGTCCTCATTCCCAGCACACATTATTCTAGTTAAGAAAAGCAAAGGGCTTTGTGCCTTGTTATCATTGCTAGTGAGAGTGAAGATCAAAAGATGCACATTTTCACAGGAGAATCTGGGGTAAGAGTAAAGTTTTTGGCAGAAATAGAACAGAAACACTGACCCTCACAATGGGAAGGGAGGGGAGCAGGGAAGTCAGGGTGGGACTACAAAGAGCTGTTGATTGCACCCCAATAAAGAGTAACCACAGCACTGACATCAGACATCCAGGTAGAGCCCTGTTTTTTTGTGTAAACATAAAAGTTTTCAGTTTAAATGTTTAACAGGAGATCAGTGACTCTCTGAAACCATTGTATCTTCATGAAGATACGCCTGTATCTTCATGAAGTATGAAGTACTTCAATGAAGTATCTTCAATGAAGAGACATGAGTATCTTCAATGAAGAGACAACTTAAAACTAAAACCAGGGTTAATTTTGGGTGGAGGAGTCTCCTGAAATATTGGTGAACATCATCTGGGATGCCTTTTTCTGGCAGCCACATCAGATTCTGGTACGTCACTGTGTCCTGCTCCACCACAAAGCTAAGCTGCATCAGTGCACACTACAGGAAAAACTGGCATTGATTCATTGTTAAGGACAAAAAAAAAATCTCCTCTGCACACAAAAATGTAACCTATACTCAGACAGGATCTGGCACTGCCATATCCATCTCAGGAGAGACCTTACTGCTGTTGACAAGTCCCTGAAAGGTTGTAGAGAGAGTTTGGCCTCTTCTCCCCGTGACAGGATGAGAGAACTCAAGCTACACCAGGCGAGGTTCAGGTTGGACACCAGGAGGAATTATTCACAGAAAGAGTTGTTAAGCAGTGGAATGAACTGTCCAGGGAGGCAGAGTCACCTTTCCTGAAGGTGTTCAAGAAACAACTTAACACTAAGTGCTAAGGTCAAGTTGATAAGATTTTGATGGGTCAAAGGTTGGACCCAGTGATCTTAGAGATCTTTTCCAACTTAAATGATTCTGTGAACCCTGGAAGCGTTCAAGGCCAGGTTGGGTAGGGCTCTGAGCAAGCTGGTCTAGTGCAAGGTGTTCCTGCCCATGGCAGGAACAGGATCATCTTTAAGGCCCTTTCCAACCCAAACTATTTTGTGATTCTCTGATGAAGGAAATTTCCTTATTTCTCTTCAGAACTCCTACTTCAGAGCAGAACAACACAAACTACATTCTTCAGAATGTATTCTAGGAGCAGGAATTTGCAGAATAATTTTGACGTTTGCTACACATTCAGCAATTAAAAGGTTAATTTTGATTAGATTATAGCATAGGCTACCACTGATGCAAATCAAGTAGAAGAAAGTGGCTGAACCCGGGCACTGGTGCCGCACTGATGTACTTACTTTCACAGGCTGTCCTGACGGCTTGTGCTTTTGGCCACAGACACTCCAGCAGAATTTTTGTTTCCTCACAAATCAGCATACATTCAATCCTCAACTGGTAGCTAAAAAGAGATCAGTGGAAAAAACCCCAACAAACACCACAAAAAACAAATCCCACGGGCCTGATTAATTGACTTGTGTTCAGCATCATCCATTTTAGGCAAAGCACAGTACCAACATTCTTACGGTCTCCTTAATGCTCTCATATGAGAGCTGGATTATAAATAAATCAAACACAGATATTTCCAAAGATGTCCTAGAAACTATTATCATCTCCTCTTTCAGAAAGCAATGCCAGACTGACATCTGGCAGTGACTACCTTGCATAATGAGGCCATAATTTTTTACAATTCCTGGGCAACACCAGCCAGGATTTTAGTTCTTTTTAACTTCACAAACAAATTTGAAATATTTTGGCAGTGATGTCCTTTAATGACATTTATGCTTCATCACAGATTAATATTCTGGTAGTAAAACATTTTCTAAAGTACTTTTAAATCTAGCTAGAAGTCTGAGAAAATGAAAAGCCATATTTTCACCACCACATTTTCAAAAAAGTATCTCTGGTTGTGGCATGGAAACTGATCAGATTTATGGAGGGCTACTGCTATTAATTATAATATATCACCATCTTTTTGTGAGCAGCAGAAAGAGTTCTCTGTGTGCACCTCATTTGACTTGGTAAAAACTGGGGAGGTGGTGAAAGCACAGGCACTGCTGTGATTCACTCTGGGATTTGTGGGCTCTCCAGTGGGTGAACTGGGATCTGTAGCCCAGGGATGGAGTGAATCAGCAGCCTGGTGACAGGATTCAGTCTGCAGCTTCATGTCACACAGGAATAGCTGTTCAACAGTCAAGGGTTTTTTCATTCCAAGGTTATTTTAACTGTAGTTTGCCAAAGGTGTCTGAAAGTCTCTCTGGCCTTTGGGAAGGAAAAAAATAATTCTTATACAGGGACTACAAATAGCAGTCAGATGATTTATCCTGAAGACTGGATGTCAGGAACATCCCTCTAGCACAAGAAACAGGGGCCTTAATTTTTATGGACAAGTCTTGTAAGAACCACACTCATGGAAAGAGACAAGGAAGATCTTGCTTACCTGGGAACTTCCAAAAGATGGAGATAAAACTGATCTGCATTTGCCAGCTGTGATTTTTCTTTTTTGCATGATTTTAGGCTATTTATCTAGCAGGGAATAAAAGACCAAAATAATCACACATTTTAATTTACCAGGGAAAATAAGCACACAAACATTTCTGGTGCCATTTTCTTCTTACAGGCATGAAACTTGCTTTTCTGAATTTGCTGTGTGCGTAGGCAATGGGAATAAAGTAGATGAACAATAAATTCTACATATGAACTGGTTTGAAAGGGCAAACATGTAGATTTTATTTTGACTGGAAGTCCTTTGCCTTTGTACAGCATCTCCTAGGATGAATTCCTGACCTGTAGGCAGAGATTCTGGAAGCTATAATGCACAGGCATCCAGAAACCCTTTAAAAAGATGGGTCCCTTCCCTTACTCCTTTTTAAAACTTGTTCTGAAAGGCTCTCTATTCACCTAGGTCTACAAATCCCACTGTGCTTCATCCACTTAATTAAAATAACAGGATAGAGAGTAGCACTTTTTCTACACCTGTGCAGAGTTTCCCAACATGTTCTTGCTCAACCTTTGTGTGAAGAGGTCAGAGTGTTGCTGGGATGGACTTCCCACCACCCTGCCTTGGAATTTCATTGACCTAGATGCAGCAGAAGGATGTGGGATCCAGTCATAGCTTCTTGCTTTAGCAGTGCAAGTGTTTCAGGCTGAGCACACAATACACTGATCTGCACCAGAATGACACGTTAATAGATACCTCCTGGTTTTCAGGCAGCAGTTTAAGTAGCTGTCTCAGCACCTCAGCATCCAGCTTGGTTCTATCCCCTTTCTGAATCATGGCAGCAATCTCTTCATTGGAGCTGCAAGGAAAGAAATTATGTGGAGCACTGGGGGAGTAACATGGCAAAAAAGACCTCAGTCTCTCTGCTGGCACTCCAGGAGCAACTGAAGTAACTCATACTGTGCTTGTCTCCCATTACAGTTTGGATCATAGTCCTCAAACTTACAGTGGAGATATGAAATTCCAAAGGTTTTTTCTTTTAAGCCTAAAGCAATATTACTTATAATTTAGGTGTGATTTTTGACCTTTGTTCATATTTACATAGCAAACCCCAAAGCTCTGCTTTTACTGTAGGTGTCCAGTGTCACTGAGAAAGTATTTACATTTGAATTCCCCCACAATCTGCAGCAAAGACAAGGATAAAACCAATGGCTCACAGAAGGTTTTAGCTCAAATCCTTGCCTGAAACTTTGGCAAGCAACATGTGTTTGAAATGCTTCCAGATTGCTGTGGTTTGAGCTCTGGAGAGCTGGGGTCCCTCGGCCACCAGTGCTAACAGAGGCTCCAGAGCAGCCTCAGCCCTCACAAGTGCAGTGGGACTCAGCTCTTTGATCCCAGCTGCTCCCAGGAGAGCTCCACCACTGCCCAGGGAATCAGACAGGAAGAGGAAATAGCATCTGCATTAGGCTATGCACCATTCTCCCCCACGGAGAAGCAGTTTATAATGGAAAAAGAAGAATAATAACTAAAAACATCCCTCTGACTCGTTCTGATTTATTCTTAATGAAAAGGGATTTCTTGGCTGAGTTTCCTCTTGAAACTCTTTTAACATGGGCCATGACACAAAGGGCAGAGGGAGAGCAGAACATCCGTCATCATCCTGCCATAGTTTCAGGGAACCTCAGAGTAAAGATATTTTCCCAAAAACTAGTACAAATTCCTTTCCTCCCCCACCCCTCCATGAGGCCTGTAACTTGGTAAATTTCCATTTGCTTAATTATTCAAACTGTTTCCTATTTATAGAAAAACTGCACATAAAAACTATGTATGATTTTGGATCTGAACCCCTGGAAATGCCTCTTTAAAGCAATGAAGTGAGTTGAAACTTCCATTCAACAATCTTCACTAACAGTTCCTGCCATAATTTTATATTTATGACAATAATACCAAAGAAAAACATATTTCTACATAACTTTACTGTTATTTATGAACATTGTCTCTTTAGGGATCTGTAGTCCATTCTAGATTTAACACCAGCTTGAAAAATGCTATTAATTGTCTGAAAAGAGACTGTCACCTATCATGATTTAAAAAAAAGGGGAAAAGTTGACTTCTTGTTAAAGAAAGCGAATACTTGCAAAGTATTTCTGCTAAATTAATTTCATTTAATATCTGAATAAACACATAGACACATAAAATCAGTAATTCAGTTATTCTCCAAATCTTACCACTTAAATTGCTTCAGAAATATACTCAGAAGGAGGCTTTTCTTTGGACCTATGAATGTGATCTGTAAGAAAAAAAATCAGTCAGCTAGAAATACATTTAGCTTGGATTTATCAGATTTTCTAGAGGTTTTGTTTGTTTATTGGTTGAGATTCATTCTTTTTTGCTAATAATATAATCAATAACCTTCATAGATCAAATCCCAATGACAATAATACAGCAATTAGATATGTTTTAGAAAGAGGCAAAGGCAGAGAGAAGGAAATTTATTTGCTTATTCCTGTTTATAATTCATATTGAAATTCCCATGTCCTCCCTGCCTCAGATGAAGACCTATCCCCCAGCAGAGTTACTTCAGCTTGTTTCATAAACCTCCCCTGTGTTTTTTTTAAGGCAGCCTCAGGTAGTGAGGCTCAAAATATTTCAAACTTTCTTGTTATAAATGATTGACATCAATAAAGAATTAATAAGCTTTTCACTTCCAAGAACTTTGCTATTTTCTACAAAAAGTGGGCAGTCCAAATACCTCGTTTGTTTTCTTTATTTTTGGTCCCGGTTTCTCTGTAGGGATCCTTGATGGGACAGAGAAAAGAAGCTCCAAGCTTGCATAGTCAGGTTCCACAAGCTCCTTGCTGCTGCTTGGCATCACAGCCCATATGGAGTGGCTTTCTGCAAGAGAATTAAAGCTCAAGATGGACCAGAGAGGTTGAGGAGCACTTTCAAGGCAATGTGATTTGTAAAAGGGAAAACACTTCTAAGGATGAATGAAATATGATGTTCATTAGCCCTGGACAAATGTGCATTATTTAAGAGTGACAGCTCCCACAGAGAGCATCCCAAAGGTTTGAAGCCTAATTAAACCTGGAAGATTATTGCCACATTCAATTCACTGAGCTGAAGGCAGCAGATGAACTTAATGGGCTGCTCCAAATTGTTTTTGCTATTGCTGACCAGCTACACATTGGAGGATTGTGGTACCAAAAGAGGGGACGTTGCATCCAATTAGGTAAACATCTTTTTTTGCAAGAGATAAAGACTCCCAAGCCCAACATTATTACCAGAATCTTTGGGGCCTATCCAAAAAACAGACAGAACTTCCAAACATGATCTTGTGCACCACGGGAACCTTTAAGACAGGATCTCACCTCCTTTTGCTTTAGGAGAGATTGCAACAGTGACACTGAATGCATTGGGGATGAATCTCAGTTTGTGTCTCTGCACAAGAAAGTGGTCCATGGCTCAGTTTTTTTTTACATCTGTGTTTATATATTTTATCATAGCAGCAAGTTCTTGCCCCTTATGACCCCTTGTCCTGGAGATAAGCAAGGAAGAACAACCGAGATCTGTGTTGTGTGCACTGAACATTAAAAACTGCAGCAAAACTGGAGATGTGTTTCCAGCCTCTTTACTGGAAGTTGAACAAGACCTTCAAGCCTTTTGCACATGCTAACCACAGACTCTGAGGGTTAGTTTGTGTGTGTGTGTGTGAATCACCACACAAATCACATGCCTGTGGTCAGTATGAAATGAAATTGGGGCTACCCTGAGGGTACACATTCCCCAGCCCTACTGACAAGAGTTTTCAGCCTCAGATCTTGGCTGATGCACCTTTTGGCTGCACAAGAACATAAAAAGCAAAGTAAAACCATCAGCTGAGAGTTTACTCACTAATGATGCACCAGAAATTCATTAAGAAGAAACACAGAACATGACCATTTAAAAGACATTTCCACTCCACACACTCAGAGCATTTTGCAAACCTTTATCTGTGCAGACTCACAACATCCCTTTAACAAATAACAGAGATTGAGAGGTTAAGAGAAGGTAACTTTAGCAGCCACAGAGCCTCAGCCCAGAGCTCCCCCCAAACTACTATTTCCTCCACTAATTGGCAGAGGACTGCCTTTCCATATTCATTTTGTGATTATGGTTGAGAGCAAGCAATGGGACCACATGTGTGACCTGACTTATGAGTGAAGGTTTATTCCCCTGACATCAGTGCTTTCCTTTGGCTGCACAGTGCACAAACCCATCAGCCCAGTGTCACAAACAAGCACGTACGTCTCACCACATCAGAGGGGAGCTTCTGCCAGTGGAGCAGCTTCATCCTCAGTGTTGGTGTCTTCCTATCGTGGGGCTGCTCCCCACATCCACAGGAAGGATGACTGCACCCAGGATTGCTGCATGGCTGAGGAGATGGGAGTGATGGGGAATTTATGCCAGGCAGGGAAAGAGGGGGAAGAGGCACCTTGCACCCAGGAAGTAGGGGAGGAGGTGGGGGCAGCTGGGGTAGCAGAGCTGGCATCACAGACTGTTCTTGGGAGGAAGAGGAAACATCTTTCTGGGAAGGTGATGTGCTCCCTGGACAATGCTCTGACTTCCTAGAGAGGCCAGTGGGTGGAGAAAGGCTCAGGTCTTCCCTGGGGTTCTCCTCTTCCAAGTCCATATTAACTTGAGTGCATTTGTTCAGCTTTGGAACAGATCTTCTAAGCACTGTTTTGTGGTGATTTGAGCAGTGCATGCTTGATAGCAGGCTCTCCGTGGCTTGCCCTGGTCCCATTTTCCTGCTGTACAAGACAACAAGGTGGATGCACGGATTAGCAAAGTTCCTCACAACTGCTCTCTACTTCTCCAGAAATAACAGTGGCCTTCACATCAAGGTAAGCAACAGGAATATTTCTAACTGCTTTACAAGTGACACTTCATAGCAGTTTCACCTTGGCGAGTGGGGAGCAAGGCAGTCCTTCTGGCCATAAGGCTCATGTTTGACTTCTCTTGATCCTTCTACATTCTTGTTATAATACATAAAAACAGACAGAGCAAATGCTAACAGCATAATAAACGCTTACCTGGTTGTTTTTTTCCCTGTTGACAGCTGTTTGGGGGGATGAATGAAGAGGTGAAGAGATGCCTCCTGGAGAATTTACTGCAGTTGCTCTATAGAGGGGACATCTCAAACAGCAGGGACACAGTCAGCCCTGAAAAACCAGGTTGCCACAATTTACCTTAAGTGCAGAAGGGTGCTGGGGATTTAAAGAGAAACTCTCAAAATAGCCTAATAAAGTAAACAAGCTACAGCTGAGGAGGAGGATTCAGGATGAGCTGCTTAGGTACTTGTAACTACACATGGAAATTACTTATAAGCATTTCAGTGAATAAGATTATCTTTCCTATTTTGCCCTTAAACCAAATTTTATTCTAGGGAAAATATATTTGTCTTGAGACTATACAGTTTCTCTCAGAGCTTCCTGCAAAAGACTGCAGAAATCCCATACATAGATATCTTGTCTGTATGCCCAGTTTTAAACGTGGAGACAGTCCTACCAAAGTTAGTGGAGCACTTGCTGGCTCAGGACTTTGCTTTGTTTGCTTGACTGAGCAAACCTTTGCAAACAATTGCATTTCTTGTGGAGGAGCAGGGTCCTGGGACACTTAATCTCAGTAGCTGGAGCTGCTGTGTGATTTCTCTGTTTATAACCTCTACAGCAATGATCATCACAAATGGCAGGAGCAGAACATGTTAAAAGGGGAGCAGTGAGCAAGCTATCAGTGCTGCAGAAATGACACAGTAGGTGCACCATTTTTAGGGACTGTATGTAGGCAGAAACAAAGCCCCCTGTCATCCCATTCTTGAGCAAAACACACATTAATAGCATCAGCAGTCTTAACTAGGTGTGGACTTTCATTTCCAGTGCAGCATGAGAGATTATTTTTGGTACATTCACCACATTTTATTCTCAAAGAGCTAGGTTAATACCTATGAATGATGATACATTATCATGGATCATAATACTTATGAACCATTTTCCTCCTGACACAGCAATTTGGGGCAGTTACTAACACAGAGAAAACTTATTAAGGGAGCTGCATCAAAACCTGCCATTGATGCATCTCTAGTCCATAGTATACCTGTAAAGCATCTCCTATAATTTGGAACAGTTTATCTTTGAAACCTAGCAGCTCATAGTGATGACAGTCTCCAGCTCTTACAGCCACTGGAAAATTGTGAGCCAATGCATCTAAGGCAAAAGAAAGCAATAAAATTTTGATATATTTTGTCAGTCTTAATTTAGTAAAAATAGCCTACATTAGAAACATTAAATGTTAAATCAGCCAGTAAATAATATTTGATTTACATACTAAATGGTACCAGTTAAAATAACTATGTCAAAGGCCTATAATAGAAAATTAATATTAACCACATTTCCAGTTTACTTGAATTAATTTGTTGTTGGTTTCCATATTTCTTTTTGCACAAATAAGCAGTTTCCCCAAAGGTAAAGCAGGCTTACATTTAATTTAAGTAAACAACTCAATGTATCCCCTTTAGGACTTCACAATCTTCGAGGTAAACTTGTACATATGTCTGTAATTACCCTAACAGGACAAGTGAAGGATTCAGCCCTATGAAAAAACCTAATGAGAAATGAGAAAGCCTAATGAGAAATAAGCCACTTTTTGCTAGAAGTATTAGGGGTAAAATGAGCTGATTAAATAAAATCTTATTAGAAATGCTCATGTTAAAATTCTGCTGCTTGTTTATTTTAATTAAGCTATAGGGAGAATCAGCAAGACTATTAATTAGGAAGCTCTTTTAATCAGAGTGCTCATCTAAATTGCTACAGGGTTTGTGTAAAGAAAAGTCTTATTTTTAAAAATCCTACTAACAAGTCGTACTATACAAGAAACAGCTAATATGCTTTGAATGATAAATAGGCTTATAATAATGTATCTCCAAAGATTATGCTTTAGAGACTAAGTAAAAAACCCCATGCTTTTAAAGATATTAAAGCCTTGGTTTAACTTCAAGGCAGCTGTAACTTACATCGCTGAAAATGTTCAAATGAGCTTGTGGGTATATATTAAAAAGAAATCTCTGTGTGAAATTTCCCCTCAGAAAGTGCAGCCTCCTGTCCCTGGTGAATACAGACATAAATAAACACAAATCTCAGTGCAGCCAGACAAGCACTTGCACTGGCACCACTTAGGCAGGGCAGGGGACAGAGATTGACTCTATACACCAGCCCAGTTCTGATGATCCTGTTGAATCAGTTAACTTGCAATTAACTGTGGAGCTGTTTTCAGTGCTCTACTACTCCACCTTTTGTTTTATGGGGAAAGCTGATGATGCTTGAGGACCACAACAATACAGACTTTCACTTCCACTTTTTATCTGACTACTGACATGCTAAAAATAGGCACACATCTCATTAGCCTTGAAAGAGAAGCTGTATTTTGACAACACAGAGTTTAGAATTTTAAGTCAGATTAAAAAAAAAAAATCTTACCTCTGCAATTTGGATAATGTAAACACTCCAAATTTTTCACTGCTTGTGTTGCTATAGGGCTGATGTGGGGCTACCTTGTTTTGTAAAACTTGATTTTCTTTGTAATGGGAATTTCCTTCATTGGTCACTACTATACTATAAATAGGGGGTTCAATGAATGTTTGAGAAGGCCTGATATTCCCCCTTGTGTGCTATAAATACCTAAAAGATTTCTCTTGAGGGCAAAGTTGTTTAAAAACGGTACCCACACACATTCAAGGTAACCACCAAAAGTGTAAGCACAGAGTCAAGACCTGCAGTGAAAGATAGTTTTGAGGACATGAAGATGTATTTCTTACCAAATGGCTGGAGTTGAGCAGCAGGAGGTACAACCCAACTGGGGACAGGGTTAGTCACTTGTTTATGCAGACAGCTGCTTCCTAACCAGAACAAAGCTGTTGTTCATTAGCTCCCAATGGGCTCCACTTGCTCTGCTTTGGATTCAGGCACTGACTTGCATTAAGATGCTCCTGGTGTAATATTGCTCACTGTTGACTTTGCAACTTGTGTAATTTATTCATGATGATTATGATTCTTATAAGGATGAAAATAAGAAGTAGGAGAAAATAGAAATCTTAATCCTTTCTTGCACAAGGAATCTTCTCACTGTAAGATTCACTCTTTTCCTTTCAGATAAATTCCTAGGGGTTCTGGAAGTTTTTTCTGCAACCTAGGGTCAGAGAGGCCTTTGGGGAATAGTAATTCCTTGTAACTTCCCCTCTTCCTTTTGTTTTGATTCTAGTATGTTTGCAAACAGTAAAGAGAAAAAGGGAATTTTCTTTTTCTTATTGCTAACAATATTTCTCTTGTGGCATTTTTCATCAGTGTTTGTCAAAGTGTTTCAAATGAAGCCATTACCCCCATTTTAGAGATGGGGAAACTGAGGCACAGGTTTTGTGCTTGCCCACAGCCTCTTAGGAAGCCAGTGGCAGAAAATGAGTAATCTCAGTAGCCAGAGTTGCTGGCATTTCATTTCAGGGCTCTGTCTGTCAAAACCCTCTTTAGTCTTTGCAGTGCACCTCTCATTAGGATCCAGCTAATCCTGTGCCTCCATTTCCTCTTGGAAGCTGTTGGAAACTGGAAGCAGTTGGAAAACGTTGGAAGCAAAGTGAAAGCTTTCACTTTTCACTCTGGAACTGCCCCAGCTGCTGGCAGGAATGTGGCTGTGAAGTATGTGTGCTTAAAGCCTGTGGACTCTGCCCTAGGGATGGAGTTAATGAAAAAGTCCTCTAAGGGAGCTGGCTCCACTTTTTGGCAGCTGGTGGTAAGGCAGGAACCTTGGGATGTGCTGCAGAAGGAGCCTGGGCCAGCACAGCAGCTGTGGGTGGCAGATGTTTGGAGGCACTGCTGCTAAGACCACTTTGCTGGTCTCTGTGCCCTGCAGCAGTGATGAGTCCAAGGAACCATGGAAAGGGGTCTGTAGAGTACAGGGACAGACTCTGAGGAGCAGAAGGCTGGGAGAAGATGTGTTGTAGGATCAGCAGAGCAATTCGTAGAGAATAGGGATGAAGTCTTCCAAATTGAAAGAAATGTTAACAGTTACTTCAACTGGGCCTTGTATAGCTAAAGGGATTAAAGACAGGACATAATAGCTTTAATATTTGGATATTTGGTAGGTTTGAGATAGGTCATGGTTTGAAGAGATTGCTGTGCTGGCTCTCATTTGATCTACACACATTTGTGCTATGCTTTGCACCCAGACCTCTGCAGCAGCTGTGTGTGTCACAGAACGTGCCTTATGGAGATCAGGGTCTCTTCTCTGTCCTCTAGACCTCTAGAAAAGTAGGGAAGTTAAAAATATTTGGAGGGAGAAAACCTCCTTTTTGGGTTGTTGTTGCTGGGTCTCTCCAATTCAGGAGGTACTTCAGAAAAACAAACCCTTTGTCTGTGACTCAGGATGGTTTGTAGACTGTTGGTGTGCTGAATGCAGTCACTACCCCTGGGGCATATTCTTCTGCGTATAACACTGGTTCACCAAAGAGAATTAACACACACACCTGAAAGGGTTTCTGGACTCTCATTACTCCTGCCTTTTCTACTCCTCTTGTATCTGCTTTTTGCTGAACAGAGAATCATAAAAACATTGGTTGGGAAAGACCCTGGAAATTGTTTTGTCCAAACTCCCTTTCAGAGGACCATCATCAATGCTCTGGTTTTGTCTAAGTGAGCTGTGAAAATCTGAACAAATGGAGGTGCAAAATATGGCAAAGTGTATAGAAAAACCTCTTGGTCTCAAAGGATGAGTCTGTTGAGGGGATTACAGGACCAGATTTCATAGACATGTTACCCTTTTTGCCTGTGCTGATTCTGCTCTGGGAATTGTGTGCTATTGAGGGGATTACAGGACCAGTTACCCTTTTTGCCTGTGCTGATTCTGCTTCTCCTCTTTCTTCATCTATTCTGACTGATGGATTTGGTCATTAATTATCACTAATTCATGACTAGGTTATGCTGTATGAAGCCACATAAGTGCCAGACAAACACATCAACTTCTGCATGCCCTGAGCAGGGCAAACCAACCATAACCATAATAATGTAGGTGTCATCAGCAAAGACTGCTGATCTTAGAAAAAACCTACTTTGACAGGCTGGGAGTGTATCTAAACTGACTTGATAGGAGCTGACTGCCACAGGGTGATTTTTGTCTTCTGACTTTGAGTAATGTAAGCTGAGCCTGCCTAAAGTCTCCATTAGGGAAGCACAGGGCTCCTGCTAATTCCTACAGACACCTGGCTCTGTGCGAATTGTCACACACAGCTCTGGCAGGAGTTGTTTATGCTGCAGCAAAGAGAGCATTAGAGAGTTCCTAATGTGAATTAAGTGCTAGCACAGCACGGATGAAGGGGTGAGTTACTCACAGAGCTGTCTGAATATGTTGATTAACTTGCAGTGATCAATTTCTCCCCTGGTATTTAAGGTCTAGTACCTGCTCTGTACTAAGGAATTGGAAACATTTTTCTCTACTATGGACCTCATTTCTGTTGCAAATCCTGCAAATCATGTGGTTATTTTGCAAGATTGACACCATGCAGTAATTGCAAACATCTAGAGAGGTCCTGTCACTATCACTACCCCATTTTTAACCCTCTGTGGTCACACTTCTAGTAATGGGAAAGCTGTTTATCATATCCTGTCCAGTTTTGATTGTGAGGTGACCAAACAAAATGTGGTTTCTGATGGAGTTGGATCATGACTGTATTTACTTTCAGACACATTATGGGAACATGACCCCATGACTAACATGTTCACCCATATTTCATGGCCATGACTGTTACCACACAGACAGAATGAGCCAGGGTTCCTACAGGACTGATGTTTAGCTTTGGTAGGCTTGCATGTTGTACGTGTTTGATCACTGTGTACAAGAAATATGAAGCCCTAGATCCAGGCTTTACATTTAGAAGGAATGGAAACTGGTTAATTTTCCTAAAACAGGCTTATGCATTTTTCTTTTATTTCAATTTCTTCTGCCTCTTTCTAACTGGAACAGAAGGCATTTCTCAGCCCCCTTGTCTGTACGGAATGTAGAAGAGGACCAAATGATACACTCAGCCCAAGAGATACTGGAATAGCTTTGAGATGTCAGCCATGCTCCAAGTAGAGTGCAAATCTGTGGTGGTGCTCACGAACTAGATACAGCTTCATTTATATCTCTCCTCTTTTCATAGAATCATTAACATTGGAGAAGGACCTCCAAGAACATCAGGTCCAACCTTTGACCAAACACCACTGTGCCAACTAAACTGCAGCACTAAGTGTCACATCAAGTAGTTCCTTGAACATTTTTAGGGATGGTGAGATGTCATGTAGAGAGAAAATTAGGAAGGCAAAAGTTCAGCTAGAGCTCAATCTGGCCACTGCTGTTAAAGATGATAAAAATGTTGTTATAAATATACTGATAACAAGAGGGACAAGGAAAATCTCCATCATTTATGGGATGTGGAGGGGAACATTATCCCCAAATGAGGAAAAGGTCTTTGCCTCAGTCTTTAACAGTAAGACTGGTTATCCTCAGGGCAACCAGCCCCCTGAGCTGGCAGACAGGGACAGAGAGCAGCATAGGTCCCCCACAATCCAGGAGGAAATGGTCAGGCACCCACTGTGCCATTTAGGCACTCCCAAATCCATGGGGCTGGATGGGATCCACCCAAGGGTTCTGAGGGAACTGGCAGAAGAGCAAAACAATTGGTAATTATTACTAAGCATATATGACAATTATGCTTAGGTGTTTTATATACTATGTGGAAAATAAAGGACTTCAATGGATGTATTCTCATTAATTATAGATTTTTTCCCATCCCCACCAGAGAAAGGAAACTCACCAAGTGTTTATTTTTATTCTAAACTTTGAAATATTTTCAGTATTGGAAAAAAACCAAAAACCCAACCAAAACGTCCCAAAACCTAACCCTGAAAATCCATCTCATTAAGCATATCTGATTTTGGATGTGAAATATTTGGAAAAGATTTCTGCTGATTTCTCCTGTACTTTCATTTTATCATATAGCTAATGCTTGATTACAGAATATGCATTTATTTGGCAGCAAGAAGCTTGTGGTGGTCACAGCCTGGTTTACATACCAGATTCTGTGTGCAGTTGCTGAAATACACCACAAGAATTCTATTTTGAGGTCTGTACTCATGGTTGACTTAAAAGACCAAAGCCCTGTTGAATTGGCCATTATATTCTTTTCATCAACAATTTATTGTTATTAACAATTAATTTGGTCTTGCAACCACTGAAAAATCTTCAGGGTCATGAGCTTTATTTCAAACTCATAAATGGAACAAAACTGCACATTCCAGTTGAATTTCAGTCTTTGACCTGCTCTGATTCCTTTCTTCTTTCTTCTGAAATAATCACTGTAATGGAAGCAGAGCTGCTCTGGAGCAATAAATTATAAATGTTGTGCTTGAGGCTGCTGATTAGGATGTGATTGAATAGATAATTTACAGATGACTATTGAACAAAGAGCCTCTGGTGGCTTAAAATAACCCATTTCTTTGTAAACTCTTGAAAGCAGGGGAAAGATAATGCCAAAACCCCTCTCTTCTAAGGCCAAGGTAAGCACACAGAGTAATAAAAACTCTGGCTGTGGCAATGAGCTGCTCCCTCTGGGTGAAATGAGGGAAGCTGAAAGACCCAGATGGAGAAATGGACACATGCTGCAGTATCTGAAGTGAGCAGCCAGTGGGACATCAACAGAAAGGTTCCCTAGGTAACACCCAGAGAACCTGTTTGTTCTCCACTCCTGCATCTCCAAATGATGTTCCTATTGATCAAACAGTGAGGTGGTGAGGAGGAGGATGGCTGTG